TATTTAGGTAGCTACCTAAATATTTAAGTTAAATAGTTAGATAGCTACCTAAATATTTAGGTTTCAAGCTAAATATTTAGCTCAAAATTAAATATTTAAGTCACAAGTTAATGTTTAGCTTGTTAACTAAATATTTAATTTGTAAGTTCAATATTTAGTTTATAAACTATAACATTTATAAATGCATGAATCATATGATGAAAAACTGACTATGAAAAAACAAATCTAATCTTTTTTCCTTATAAAAGGCTAAATAAAACAAAAATATTGGTGGTAATTTTTGACTGTGTAACTTTACAAACGGCACCCCACAGAACAGCTAACTCTTACAAAAACAGATGTGAGAAAACAGTAGTCACCCCTAAAATTCCTTAAAAACCTTTTGACATTTTAAAAATAAATTTTTGTAAGGGTGTCAAGCTAAAGGTAAGAACTGGAAAAAGTCGTCTGACACCCCCCCCCCACACACACACACACACACACTTTTTTTAATGTCCCCTTATAGCATCTGGAAATGCCTGGAAATGTGAAAAGGCAGAAACCCCACCGGCGCAACAAAGACTGTCAAGTGGTTTAAAAGATAGTTTATTTGTTTTGAAGACTATAGAGAGTTTATGAATAGTTTTCATCTTATCTGTTGTAGTTAGCTTGTCGAACTAAAGAGAAGCATTTTGTCAAAAGCACTCTGTATTCATTGGTCAACAAAGTATTTATCCCTGCCAACACCCAACAACGAATGATTTATTGCATCATATTTTAAAGTATTTTTCACAAGCATTGTATTGTTTGTAAGCTAACTATAAAACTATTTTAGACAAAGAGCATTTGCCAGCTTTCTGTTAGAAGCAAATTAAAATATGAAGAGAGGTGACACAAAATCTGTTTCACTGCACAAGTCAGGAGTGGCACTTCAGGCTGTAAGCTGTCTTTTATTTGTACTTTTTGTTTGATGTAGTCATTTATAGTGTCTTTAAACTTAACTAAGTTGGTGTTTTTCTAAGCTGCATTTGTAAGTAATGTTTACTTTTTTAATATGTGAGCACAGATATTTAAGCCATTTCCATCAAAGCTTTTTTCATTTAACGGCACAGTTCTTTTCTGTAATGATGGATTAGAGTGACTTCATTTACTCTAATAAATTCTCTTCAGTGGACTGTGAGTGCGTACCAATGGACTGTATTTTGTTTTTCTCTTATCTCTCCTGTTTCAATGAGGTGAAACAAAAACAGCTCTGTTGAATGAATGTGGATCTACCTGATCTGATTACAGTGTGTTGCTTTACTATCAACCTCGGAGCAGCTCAAGTCTGCCCACACTTGTGCCATTTAAATATGTTTTATGTACATTAATAAAATCCTGCAACTAATCTGACTCAATTTGCTTCTTCAGCAAAACAACACTTTTATATATATATCCAACATAAACACAGAAAAACCCATGCTGTACAACTAGGTGGAGAGACTTCAATATTTACATTGTATAACAATTCATACTATACACAGAAGTGAACTGCTTCAGTAGTGAGGGTAAAGTCCAACTGGGTCCTGCAGGGAATTTGTATCAACAATGACTGAAGAGCTTCAGACTCATCAAGCTGATCTGCTTGCACACTCTAATTATTATTATTATTATTATTATTATTATTATTATTATTATTATTATTATTATTTTTTTGTACAATGACAGTGCTTTAAATATTTGTATATTTGCATGCATTGTTCTTAAAATTACTAAACTTAGCACAAAAAGCAAGGAAATTAGTGTTTGGTAGATTGTTTCTTTGTTGTAACGATGCTTCTTGGCAGTAATTCCTGTATCCTGCACCTGATTGGCAGCACCAAACACTCAAAGCAAGTATCAATAGCAACATCTACCTGTAAATAAGCTGTTTGGCAGAGAGACATTCGTACTTAATGTTTGGTATTTTTTTATTTTTCACTAGATGGCAGCACAGAACAGTCTCATTCTCTTTAGCCTATCAACTTTTTTTGAATTTTTGATATTTTCGAAGTCTTGACTACTGTAGTCCACATGTTCACAGTCTTTTAAGTTTAAAATCTAAAGTTACTGAATACCAAGCAACATTAGGCAGCTGTACATTGTTTCTGTTAACTATCAAATGGGACAGCATACTTTCTGTATACATTACAAAATTCAGCAATAATCAAAGTTCAATTCTCTACTGACTATACCCAAGTACTTTGTTTTACCTGTAGTTTATGCTGTATGTTTTATTTTTCATTCAACTAATAGATCCAGGGCAGCTCTGAGCAACTGAATGTGCTGATGATGACARCAGTCAGGTAACACACACACACATGAAAAGAAAACTGTATTTCCATCTAATAGTTGTGTAATCTTGTATTGCACTTTCTTCAATCTCCTTTCTTAAACACTTTGTTTACACACTTATGAGAGCACAAGAATGCATCTTGTTATAGTCTGAAAGGCTCCTAACCGAAAACCAGAGGGTAAAGTTTAGACAAGCCCCCTTCTCAGCTTTAACTGCTGCGATAAAGAATGAAGGTTAGCATGTTTATAACCAAACACTGTAGGAAAAGGACTTGTTCCCTTATGAAAGAGAAGAAGAAAATATTCAAACAAATGTAGATAATATACACCGCATCTCTTTCAGTTTATCAAACACAAGACAGAGAAATAATGGAAGCAGTGGTAGAGTAACCGCTCAAGAAATGACTTTTTGCCCTCCTCAGAGCACAACATGATGACTCCAGAAATGTCATCAACTCTGATCCATTCTGCTTCTGCTCTGAGTTGTCTTGTAAAACACACAAAGTTCAGCTCTTCACCTGTAAGACAGACAGACTTGTACCAGTTTTTTTAATGAATATTTTTCTTTTCATCAGCATGGTTTTAAGACCTTTACATGCTATCTGTCAGAAGAGAGCTCCCAAGCAGGTCTCAAAACACAGCTGCAGTGCTCTGAGGACAGGTCAAGGTGCCTGGAACCACACTGTCTGTGATTAATCAAAAAGAGACAAATTATCACGCAAATATTTTTCATATGTTCAAATCACAAACAAAAAGACTGCAAGTCTGCAACTCACACAAACAAACTGAACATTTGAAAACGTATTAAAACATTTTGCATTTTGGAGAATCCCTCCTGAGGGCAGTGTACCAGCTCGATGAGACTAAGGTTCATGARAAAAATGAAGAAAATCTTTTATAAATTATTTTTAATTATTATGGAAAATCTATAGAAAACTGCCATAGTTAGTTTGCTTTAATAAAGTACAGATTCCTGAGTGGCTATAAAAAGTTAAAGCATTTAATCAGATATTTTTTTATTTGAAACGTTGGTTTATTGTTTTATTTCTCTTGAGCTTTTTTTCTTTTTCTTTTCTTCTCTTTTTTTCTAATTATGAGTTTAGCCTCAGTTGTGCTTAACCTTGTCAACTCTGCTAGGGCGTTTAGATATTAGTGATTCACCTGATACAAAGAGCAGCCAATAGCAAGAATACAGCAAGGCTCAGATATAAAAGTTAATCAGCAACTAACTGGCGGGTCTTGTTATCAGATAACAAAAGCTCAACACACCTGCCCGTCTGTTGTCTTACCACTCCCTTCGTAAAAAGTCTTGTTAAGTTGTTGCGGTGTTCACTTGGTCAAACAGTGATCCATCCATCATGAAGAGGCTTCTGCTCCTGCTGGGTGTGACTGTCTTCTGTTTTTGTGTCCTGGCTGCGGCCGACACCCAATCTGACCAAGTGGACGACAAAACATTCCCAGAAAAGGATGGAATTTTACAACTAAAGAAGGGGAATTTCAACAGGGCTCTGAGAAAATACAAGCAGCTGCTGGTGCATTTCTGTAAGTTACAAGCTGACTAAATCTTCACGATTAAGCAGATTTAAATATATGAATGAAACTATCAGGGTGACAACCTGCATGCACTTTGGACTGCCGTGACGTTTCAGCTGAAGTACATTTGTGTTCTCATTTCTTCCCCTCTGTGTGTGTTTGTCAGTGACTCCTCTGACAGTAGAAGGTCGTCGTGTGGCAGCAGCATTCGAAGGTGCAGCTGCAGAGCTTCAGGGGTCAGAGGTCAAACTGGCCAGAGTTGATGTGACAGAAGAGAGGGACTTGGCTAAAAAGCTCAATGCGACCAGCCACCCAATCAGACTATACCTTTCTGGAGATATGCACAACCCTGTGCCATGCCCCGGTGAGTGTAAGAGCATATTTTTACATCATAATATCTATGATTCACAAAAGCTTTTAAATCACAGTTTAAAGGAAAATGATCCAACAATATCTTAGTCACAGATACTGTAGATCAAATAAATTAATGTTTGTGTTTCTGCTCTGAAATGATATGAAAATTTTAATTTCTTTATGACCTGAGCATTTTACTACAAATGGAGTAGGATGAAATAATCAATTAAAGGTGCAGAACAGTTATTTTTTTGAAGTAGAGTTTGCATGTAATACTTATGAATAGTTAGTGTCTTACCTGCAGTAGACAGCAATCAGAACAGTCTTAGTTTGGAGCGATAGGGAGGAAATTCTTATAGGAGACTCAACCTCATTTAGGAGACAATTTTCACCATCTTAAACAACTCAAGCCTCAAAGGAATCAGAGCCGTTATATCAAACTCTGCTGTGTGTAGTTTTACACACACAGCAAAATAAAAATGAACTCATATTAAGTATGCCTAATGGGGTCTATTTACAATGCATTTTGATTGCAAAACATCTATTTGGTGGGAAAAGTGATACACTGTAAAAAATTGCAATAAAGCACATACCTGAAATATATATTTTTAATTCAATTAATTTTAAATGTTAAAAATCCTTTGTTAAATGGTACCTCCTCTGAGAACTAATTAGTTACATTAACCTAATAAAACAAATCACCAAACAGAAACCATTTTGACTGATGTTTACTGCAGGTGAAATACTGACTATGTCTATTGCTCTACACAACCCCAGTTTTGAAACAATGACATACTATACTATACTATACTATACTATACTATACTATAC